TAGTGCCCCTTAAAACAACATAGCGCCCCTTAACACAACGCAGTGCCCTTAACACAACACATTGCTCCTTATAACAACATAGCACCCCTTAACACAACACAACACCCCTAGCACAACACAGCGCCCCTAACACAACACAGCACCCCTAACACAACACAGCGCCCCTTTAAAACAACATAGCAACCCTTAACACAGTACCCCTAACACAAACACAGCACCCTTAACACAACACAGCGCCCCTAACACAACACAACACCCTTAACACAACACAGCACCCTAACACAACACAGCACCCCTTAAAACAACATAGCACCCCTAACACAACACAGCACCCCCTAACACAACACAGCACCCCTAACACAACGCAGCACCCCTAACACAATGCAGTATCCCTAACACAACACAGTGCCCCTAACACAACATAGCACCCGTTAAAACAACACAGCACCTCTTAACACAACACAGTGCCCCTAACACGACACAGTTCCCCTAACACAACACAATGCCCCTAACACAACACAATGCCCCTAACACAACACAGCACCCCTAACACAACACAGAACTCCTTAACACAGCACAGTGCCCCTTAACACAACACAGCACCCTAACACAACACAGCGCCCCTTAAAACAACATAGCACCCCTAACACAACAAAGCACCCCTAATACAATGCAGCACCCCTAACACAACACAGTGCCCCTAATACAACACAGTGCCCCTAACACAACCTACAACCCCTTAACACAACACAGCACCTCTTAACACAACACAGTTTCCCTAACGCAACTCAACGCTCCTAACACAACACAGAACCCCTTAACACAGCACAGAACCCCTTAACACAACACAGTGCCCTAACACAACACAGCACCCCTAACACAACACAGTGCCCCAAACACAACACAGTGCCCCTTAACACAACACAGTGCCCCTAACACAACACAGTTCCCCTAACACAACACAATGCCCCTAACACAACACAATGCCCCTAACACAACACAGCACCCCTAACACAACACAGAACTCCTTAACACAGCACAGTGCCCCTTAACACAACACAGCACCCTAACACAACACAGCGCCCCTTAAAACAACATAGCACCCCTAACACAACAAAGCACCCCTAATACAATGCAGCACCCCTAACACAACACAGTGCCCCTAATACAACACAGTGCCCCTAACACAACATACAACCCCTTAACACAACACACAGCACCTCTTAACACAACACAGTTCCCCTAACACAACACAGTTCCCCTAACGCAACTCAACGCTCCTAACACAACACAGAACCCCTTAACACAGCACAGAACCCCTTAACACAACACAGTGCCCTAACACACACAACACAGTGCCCCTAACACAACACAGTGCCCCAAACACAACACAGTGCCCCTTAACACAACACAGTGCCCCTAACACATCACAGTGCCCCTAACATAACACAGCACCCCTAACATAACACCATGCCCCTTAACACAACACAGTGCCCCTAACACACCACAGTGCCCCTTAACACAACACAGTGCCCCTAACACAACATAGCACCACTTAACACAACACAGTGCCCCTAACACAACATAGCATCCCTTAACACAACAGAGGACCCTTAACACAACACAGTGTCCCTTAGCACAGCACAGTGCCCCTAACACAACACAGTGCCCCTAACACAACATAGCACCCCTTAACACAACACAGTGCCCCTAACACAACATAGCACCCCTTAACACAACACAGAACCCTTAACACAACACAATGCCCCTAATACAACATAGCACCCCTTAACACAACATAGTGCCCCTAACGCAACACAGTGCCCCTAACACAAGACAGTGTCCCCATCACAACACAGTGCCCCCATCACAACACAGTGCACCTTAACATAGCACAGTGCCCCTTTTAATGCAAGCCTTCCCCTGCATAGTCCTATGGTACCTTAGGCAGAGCAAAGGCACTAATCCTTCTGGGGTGTCCTCTCTTTGGCCTCCATCCCACCACCGATGTCACCCTCATAGCTGGCGGGGTGAGAGGAGCTGCAGATCGGGGGACTGAGTGGACCAGGGGCGGACTGACATCTCATGGGGCCCCCGGGCAATAGGGGATCATGGGGCCCCTGTGTCCTTGCCCAAACTCAAAAAAGCCTATGAAAAAGGTACCAGGGGCATCTCATGGCGCCCCCTATTGACCCCGGGCCTTTGGGCAGTGCCTGAGTTTCCAATTGGTCAGTCCGCCCCTGGAGTGGACGATTGCCTTGCTTGCTAATAGGAAAAGACTCCCGTTTTATGTCTTGAGCTGCAGAGAGAGCGGAAGTCTTTACATATTAACAAGCTGGGTAATCACCAGCTCCCACCCCTCAGATACCCAACTACAGCTCTTCACACCATGCCCACTGTGAGGATGACATCAGTGGCTGAGTGAGAGGCCCAGTAGAGGACAATGAACCAGAAACGATTTCTCCTGCGCTCCGGGACCCAGGCCGGTGGTGAGTAGATGGGAAAAATACTCCAGAGAGGCAACCACCGGAGTATCCAAAGTTGTGCAGCTCCAAACCAAGGCTGGGGAAGCCCGAACAAACTGTGAAGTGAAACAACAAGAAGCGCACCAACCTTGTGCATTACCTCAGTAACCAAAATTTATTAAATGAAGGAATGGTACTCACAAACAGCGGATAAAAACAGGCATGTAAGTCCACCAAGGGACTTCAAACGCAAGAGACCAGCGTGAATCCCATCATGGGTGTAGATACTCAGTCCAGCTGACGCGTTTCGAAGGTCAAGCCTTCTTCCTCAGAGCTGACAAGTCCCATGCCCATGATGGGATTCGCGCCAGTAGAGGACACCCAGCCATGGCAATGGCATGGCCGCGGTCCAGACAGGATTGTCCCTTGGTCTATTTCCAGACCGCGGTCCACCGTTTAGTGACCCCTAGTGACCACTGCTTTAGAGACATGTATCTGTTTCCTTACTTTATTCCTGGTGTAGGTCATTCTACTCCAGCTATTTATGAAGTGGACGTCATCATGTCTCTATGCTGATGTTTATTTTCCCTCTCCTTTATTCTGCTCTCCAAGGACATCACTATCTAATCCCGCACATGTGTAGATCAAAAGGAACCAAGCCTTGTCTTGATTTGTAGGTTGCCATAATGCTGTGTCCTAACACTTTGTCCCCATGGGAATGAGAAATTCTCATGAGAAAGCCACCGAGGATATATGAAATGCAACGGACAGATGGTGTTTCTATATGTGGTTGGAGAGCATTTATAAATCTAGCAATGTCCTGAACTTCTCAATCTCTGTGACATTTGGTAGTCACATGGGGGGTTATTTACTAAAGCTGGGGAGTGCAAAATCAGGTTCACTTCTGCATAGAAACCAAACAGCTTCTAACCTCAGCTTGCTCAATTAAGCTTTGGCAATAAAACCTGGAAGCTAGTTGGTTTCTATGCAGAAGTGAGCCTGATTTTGCAGTCTCCAGCTTTAGTAAACAAACCCCAATATGTTTAAGGACGTAAGCAGAGATAGTGGGAGCGAATACCGAAGGTAGATTATCAGATCCTAATGGCAGGGCAATTTGAACATTTTGGCATGGCCAGAATACTGTGAATTGGAAGCTGACTGGGCATGCACCAATGATGTCACTGGGGATAGTACCATCTATATGTCAGAAATGGAACAGCTCTGCCGCATTTCATTGCCATCAACAATTACTATGTCTTAATACATTACAGATGAGGACAAGTGGTTATCTTGACTTCTGCTTTAAATAATATAAGTGTATATATGCGACCCAAAAGAGGGACTTCTGAGGAGGAAAAGGGGACAGGTGAAATTGGTTCCAAAAATGAGTCCAAATAAGGGACAGTTGGGGTTACATTATATATTTGTATAGACATGTTCCTTAAAGCGGGGTTCCACTCACGCTGTCAAAAAATAAATGTCAGCAGCTACAAAAACTGTAGCTGCTGACTTTTAAAAAACACACACTTACCTGTCCCTCGGTCCTGCGGTGTGTCCCCCGCAGCCCATTTTACCGGCCATCTTCTCTCTCCTGGTGCCGGCATCTTCAGTGAGGGCACCCGGCTGTGATAGCTTGCAGCTTCACAGCCGGGTGCCCAATGCACTTGCGCGAGTAGAGCTGCGCTTCCTGAATGGTCCCATTGTCTTCTGGGACCTGCCACGTGTCCCAAAAGACTATGAGGAGGGAGGCAGGGAGGACACCTTCCACTTCCGATTGCCTAGACGATTGGAGCGGAAGTGGGAGCGGGTACCTGTCAAATTCGGGTACCCCCCCCCGCCCTCCAAAGGTGCCAATCCTTAATGGGGAGCGGGGGGGACCAGTCTTTAAAGTGGAACTTCCCCTTTTCGGTGGAGCTCCACTTTAACTCCAAAAGTTTTTAAAACTACAGGTGCAGTGTTCCAACAAGAATACAATTACATGTTCCGTAAAAACTTACAAACCCTGTAACAGTGTCAATATACAGTACATAAACAAAAAGTAAAGGGGCAAATATGGAGGGTAATTTTTACCAGAAACAGTTCAATTATTTGCAAGGAAGCTGAATTTTGCAAGAAAAAGTTTGCTGAGAGCTTAGTGAATGTGGTGGGGCTCTGCTGACTTTCATCATCCAATCATTTGCAAGCAAAAGTGCTATTTTTTTTAAAATTTTCCTTGCACGTGATTGGGTTTTCTTTGCAAAGTGAAACAAAGCTCTGGGGATTATTCCCTTGCAAAGTGTAACTGCTAGCAAAGTAAACAGCATATTTGTCTTTAACCACCTTCCGCCCGCCATATAGTACAATGACGGGCGCAAGGTGGTTCTCTCGTTCTGATAGGATGTCATATGATGTCCTTCCATTCTCACCACGCATGCATGGCTCAGGGAGCGCGCAGCGTAGCGATCGCCGGTGCGCTGTGTCCCTCGGACACAGCAGATCACGGAAAGAGCTGAAGATGTCGGCTCGGTCATGTGATCAGCTGTGTCCAATCACAGCTGATCACATGTAAACACGGAAATGCCGGTTATCGGCATTTCTCTCCTCTCGAGCTGTCACGCTGACAGCTCGAGAAGAGAGAGAAGAGAGAGAGAGCCGGTAATCGGCTTTCCGTGGAGGGGACATGTGCACTGATCATCAGGGCACTGATGATCAGTGTGCCGTGATGATCAGTGTAGCCCCAGCAGTGCCAGCAGTCAGTGCTCATTAGTGTCACATGTCAGTGCCCATCAGTGCCACATCAATGCCACATATCAGTGCATACCAGTGCACATCAATGCCACATATCAGTGCCAATCTGAGCTGCCTTTCAATGGCACCCATCAGTGCCAGTCAGTGCCACCTATCATGCCAATCAATCAGTGCTGCCAATCAGTGCCACCTATCAGTGCCAGTCAGTGTCGCCTATCAGTGCTGCCTATCAGAGCCAGTCTTTGTCGCCTGTCAGTGCCAGTCAGTGCCGCCTAACAGTGCCAGTTAGTGCCGCCTAACAGTGCCAGTCAGTGCCGCCTATCAGTGCCGCTTATCAGTGCAGCCTATCAGTGTCATGTATCAGTGCTGCCTTTCAGTGCCCATCAGTGATGCCTGTCAATGCCCATCAGTGCAACCTACCAGTGCCTCCTCATCAGTGCCCATCAGTGCCACCTATCAGTGTCCATCAGTGCAGCCTATCAGTGCCCATCACTGCAGCCTCATTAGCGCACATCAGTGAAGGAGAAAAATCACTTATTTACAAAATTTTTATAACAAAAACTAAAAAAAAAAAGTTTTTTTTTTTCAAAATTTTCAGTGGTTTTTGGTTTGTTTAAGAAAAAATAAAAATCCCAGAGGTGATTAAATACCACCAAAAGAAAGCTCTATCTGTCTCAAAAAAATGCTAAAAATGGTCATATGGGTACAGTGTTGCATGACCGCACACTTGTCATTCAAATTGTGACAGCGCTGAAAGCTGGAAATTGGCTGGGCAGGAAGAGGGTATAAGTGCCCTGTAGGCAAGTGGTTAATAAATCAACCCCAATGTCCCTATCTGTTTCACACTTGTATCCTTCTTGGGTCATTTCTTACATGCTGTATTGCTCTCAAAATAGAGGGTTGTTGTTTTTTTTTTCCAGTGTTATTTCCTATCCCAACATATCCCAGCAGACTGAATAGTAAACTTCAAAACAGAGCATAAACAAGATGATTTTCACCATCTCCACACAATAAGGTAGTGTTGAAGAAAGCTTATTAAAATAATGTAACACCCATACCATCTCCTTCCACCCTCCTGAAATTACAGTACACCTAGAAATGCTACCATTCCTACACACAAGGGTTAAAGAGGTCCATTGGACCAAAACTGGCTAATTAATGTCATTAAAAAGTCATTTAGTGTGTAAGGCTAGGTTCACACCTATTCAGGTTGCGATTGAGCCGTTTCTGCATTGTGTTTTATGTTGCTTTTTTTGCATTTTCATTTTTGCCGCGTTTTTGAAGCTTTTGCATTTCTTTTTTCATGTTTTAAATTTTTCTTGTTGCTAGGCAGATTTAACAGGTTCCCGGCCTATAGCTAGATGGCGGCCTGCAAAACCTCTCGTCCCTCCGGGTGGACGCCATATGGCGTCCTGTCGGGCATATATAGTTTGCATGCCCGCAGAGCCGCGCAGTGGCACGATCTGTCACCGGCCATGTACCTCGGACACGGCCGATGACAGATCTGAGTACCGGCCCTGTTGCTGGTACCAAGTGACCTGCTGTGACCAATCACAGCAGGTCACATGACAGTTGTATACAATGGATGGCTTCATTCATGCCATCCATTGTATACTAGTGTGTCTAGCTGTGAATGGTCACAGCGATCACATGCACAAGCTGGGCCAATCACAGCCCAGCTGTGTCATGTGATGAGCCGTGGCCAAATCACAGCTAAGCACAAAAAAAACCAAAAAAAAAACCCTGAATGAATCGATGTCATTCAGGTAAATGTTTGCTTATAGCAAAATAATTATTTGCTATAAGCAAATTGTGTAAAAAAAAAAAAAAAAAGATCACTTCCCCAAAGTAGTACAATATTACTATGGTAACATTCCACTACTTTGGTCTTAGTGAAATATGAAAAAAAAATTATAATTATATATTTTTTTTTCATACCATTACCAGTCAGTGTCCCTGATCACCGCCATGTCCGTTATATGATGATGCTGTACTGCACTGGTGACAGTATGTAAAAAAAAAATAGTGGAAATAATTTTTTTAAATTTTTAAATTTTTCAAAAAATTATGACAAAAAAAAATACAACTTCAAAAAACTCGCCATGCCTCTTATAAAGTACGTCAGACTATCCACTTTCCAAAAAGGGGTCATTTGGGGGATGGTCATTTGGTACTGTTCTGACATTCTTGGTCCTCAAGAAATTAGATTGGCTGTCAGTACTTCAGGATTGATCAATTTTCAGATATATCCCAGTTTGTGAACTCCCTACAAACTAAAAAATACATCCTAATTTGGGTTATTTTCACCAAAGACATGTAGCAGAATACATCTTGGCCTAAATTTATGAAGAAACAATTATTTATTTGCAAATTTTTATAACAGAAACAAACGTGTGTTTTTTTCAAAATTTTCAGTCTTTTTTTGTTAATTTAGCAAAAAATAAAAACCCCAGCAGTGATTAAATACCACCAAAAGAAAGCTCTAGTTCTGTGAAGAAAATTATAAAATTTTAGTTTGGGTACAATGTTGTATGACCGCGCAATTGTCATTCAAAGTGTGAGAGCGCTGAAACCTGAAAAATGGCCTGGGCAGGAAGGTGTAAAAGTGCCCTGTATGGAAGCGGTTTAAAACACATCAAAAACACAATACATGCTTTTCTGCAGCATTTCCATTGAAGTCTATAGCACCATCAATGCAACTTTTTGCATTAAAAAAAGTCCCTGCCCCTTCCCAAAAAACACACTGGGTGAAAACGCTCAGATGTGAACATGTCCCATAGAAATCATGTTAAATGGACTGTAGTGTATTTCTGCAAAATGCAAAAAGATGCAGAAAAAGCTTAGGTGTGAACTAGGGTAACACAAATCATTTGCAGTTTCATAGATAAAAGTTACTTAAAATTCAGACAGAATCTTTTTAAAGTCAGTCTGAATTGTTTTTAGCTGTGCTTTTTTTCATGTATTCATGCTACCTTTGAAACCTTTCCTGCTTTCATGCAAATGTAAAAGCTTTTCCCAATTCTTTCCACTGACTTGTATTGATAAATGAAGTGCATTGTTAGCAGACTGTCGAGGTAGAAGAGCAAAAAGTGACAGCTGTAACGCTACAGTATTTTGGACCACTTGTTCTGCAGATGACCACATTCCTCTGTGTTGATTCCTCCTTTAAGTGATTGACATAGGTGTCCAAAGGGAAATGTTAGAGCAATGTGAGCTATTGTCAGTAAGAGATATAATATCAGAGGCTTTTTGTTCAGAGCTTTTAGTTACCTCTGGACTGGCATCTCACTAATACTGCAATGTTAGAGTCGTTAGCATGTGGAGAAATGTAATATGTACTATAGCAGTAAGCCTGTTATTGGGCAATTACTGGCCAATTACTGTATGTCTGTCTTTATGACAGTTGAACTAAACTGGTTGGAAAAAATAAAAACTAATTCGCTCACCACCAGATCCACTGGTACAAGTATGATGCACAGCTGTATAGCATTCCTCCTGCCCACTATGCAGTTTCATGAGTTAGGGTGGCCATTTACCAGTCACTAGCCCTGTAGAAGTAAGTGTGGGGGTTCTGCAGTGGTAAGATTTTGATGCTGTTACCCACCTAAACTGGTGCTTCACTTTTCACCTAAAGCTGGCCATACACCAGTTGAATTAGCTTTAATTTGTTTGATTTTCCCATCATTAACCACTTGCCCTCCTGAGGATTTACCCCCCTTAATGACCACGCCTCTTTTTGCTACTCGGCACTGCACTAATTCAACTGATAATTGCGCGGTCATGCAATGCTGCACCCAAGTGAAATTTACGTCCTTTTTTTTCACACAAATAGAGCTTTTTTTCGATGGTATTTGATCACCTGTTCGCTTTTTATTTTTCACGCTATAAACAAAAAAAGACCAAAAATTTTGAAGAAAATTTTTTTACTTTCAGCTATAAAAAAAAATAGTAAACTCAAAGTTGGTTACAAATTTAGGCCAAAATGTATTCTGCTACATGTTTTTGGTAAAAAAAATCCCAATAAGTGTATATTGATTGCTTTGTGTGAAAGTTATAGCGTCTACAAACTATGGTATAGATGCATTTAGCCATTTTTTTGCTATACAGCGCTGCGCTAGTTTAACAGACAATTGCGCGGTCATGCAATACGGTACATAAATGGAATTTACATCCTTTTTTCCCACAAATTGAGCTTTCTTTCGGTGGTATTTGATTGCCTGTGCGTTTTTTAATTTTTGGCGCTATAAAAAAAAGGCTGACAATTTTGAAGAAAAAAAACAATATTTTGGACTTTTTGCTATAAAACATGTCCAGTAAAAAAAAAATTAAAAAATCAAATTTAGTCATAAATCTCTGCCAAAATGCATTCTGCGACATGTCTTTGCTAAAAAAAAAAAAAACCCACTACGTGTAAATTAATTGGTTTACGTGAAAGTTATAGCCTTTACAAATGGCGGGAAAGATACTGGGATTTTTAATTTTTTTTTATACTAATAATGGCGGTGATCAGCAACTTATGGCGGCGATCAGCGACTTATGGCAGGACTGCGGCGGACATTCTGACACTGGGGGGGAACTGGCTTGGGGTCACTGACATCCCCAGTGACACCAATACAGTGATCAGTGCAAAAAGAAAAAAACACTGACACTGTACTAATGGCACTGGGGAGGAAGGGGTTAACCTTTTTATTTACTGAAAGGGTTAACTGTGTGAGGGGAGTGTTTTACTAGGGAGTGGGGGTGTGTACTGCACGAGAACAAGGCTGATCCGGAGAGATAAACTCTTCTCTCCGGATCAGCATGTCAGGAGCTGACAGGGGACTGACAGAAAGCACGGCTGCAGTGTTTCCTCTCTGTCAGCGATTGCCGCTAATCTCTGGGACACGGTAGGTAATGACCGGCCGTGACCCGGTGACTGACACCCGCGGCTGCGATCGGCGGGACGGGTAGGGTGGGCACATGCCTCGCGCGCGCCCCCTACCTGTTTTGCAAACGCACGTTTTAAAACATGGTTTTGCCCAGCCGTGCCAACCTGCCACCGTATTTCTACAGTGGCTGGTCGGCAAGAAGTTAATGGGTCAATGACATTGAATTACGTTGTTCAAGTCTTTGAATGTACTGAGAATTTTCATATAAATTTTTCTTACAAATGTTAATTCAAAAATCTACTAATGTATGGCCAGCCTAAAGTGGAAGAAAAGAAATTAGCAGCTGACTAGAGCAGACCTGCCAAAAAGTGGTTTATTACAAATCCTATGCGGAGCAATAATCACTAAATTAGTGAATGCACTTGCTCTCATACAAAGAGGGATTTTTGGAAGCCATTATTGGGCATGTTATAAGAAAGCTTGAGCGCTATCATGCACAATAAAGACTCTCATATCACTAATTACAATTTTTGGATTTGAAGGAGACCACATCTCTTGGTTAACTGCAAAATGCATACTTTATTCATCAGTGGGAATATTTTGGTTTCCAATATGGTAATTGTACACTTTTTTCATTCACTATATTGATGTTTTTTTACAATCATATGACTAACAAGTTTTGTTTATTCTAGAAGCCAAACCACTGCAATAATTTTTTGAACATTGGCCCATTGGTCATAGCCACACTATGTGAAACTACAGCTAATCACTCATATGATGTTGAACATCTACAAAGAAGGAAACAAGATGCAATTTTGACAGTTAATTGATTTCTATTCAAGCAATTATTGTAGCAGGAGGTCTATGACAGTGATATAGCCTATTCAAGATCTTCATGTATTCATTATTCATTCATGTATTTAATTTCCAGGAAGTTTATTATACAAGCTTTGATTACCCAATTTGAGGAACTGATAAGGATACTAACTTTGAAATCAAGAAGTTGTACTCATACCAGGGTTCTTTATTTGAACTCTCCAATTGATGAATACAGAAGTCTTTGCTTTTCTTATCTGGTTTACTAGATACACATGCAGCTAAGTGGAAAACGCAGATTTTTTCTTTTGTTTTGTTTTTTGCTTTTATTTTTTATTTTATTTTTATGATTGTACACTGTTCACCATGATTAAATGTCAAACTTTTCATGATCTATGTGATCTAAATAAATAAATGTTATTTTGCATTCACCAATTTAGTGATTATTACTCCGTATAGGATTTGTAATAAACCACTTTTTGGCAGGTCTGCTCTAGTCAGCTGCTAATTTCATTTCATATGCTATTTGGTTTAAAATCCACACCTTATACATGAAGGGAGACAGGGATTATATATGATCAGGTGATTGCACCTAACTATGATGGCAACCTTTTTTTCTTATATTAAAGTGGAAGAAAAGCCTCGCACTATCCTTAAAAATGTTCCCTCCCCCCTACTCTTACCTATCCTACCTAATCAGTATAAAAAAAGGTGTGTGTACTTGCTTACTTTTATTCTGCTTCCCTCCATCATGTGATCCCGCAGCTCTGGCTCCTTCACAGCAGTAAATGGCTGCAGCAGGGGCGTGAAGGGAGTGCAAACAATGGCTGGGCTATGGGAGCCTATGGGTGACATCACGGCTCCTGGAATTCCCAACCATTGTCGAACACTCCCTGAGCTAGAGCTGTAGATTTACATGACTGGACCAGAGCAGATTAAAAATAGGCAAATAAACACATCCTTTTATACAGGTTAGACAGGATAGAGAGGAGGGACCGTTTTTAGCAATAGATAGTGTAGTGTCCTATAGGTAGATAGGATTTTTTGTGGTTAGTCAGAGGCTTGTTAAAAGCCTGAGATGAGTCAGCCTGGGAGTGAGGCAGTGCGGTTACCTCAGGGCAAGCTGGGAGGCTCTACAGTTCAGGGTTTCTGGAGCCCTCCCACCCTTTAGAAACTGCTAGAACTTTCTAGACGAGGGGCAGAGGAGGGGAGGAACAAAAAAGACTGACAATTTTGAAAAAAAACAAACAATATTTTTACTTTTTGCTATAAAACATATCCAGCAAAAAAAAATTTTTTTTCAAAAAATCATAAATTTAACTGCCTCCTGACCATCCTATAACAGAAATACTGCTACAGGGCGGCACAGGTGCGCAAAATCACGTATATATACGTGATTCACATTCCTTTGGTTTTCATGCCCCTCCCAGATAGCATCAGATTGCCAGTAAGCACACCAGTAATCACATTTAACCCCTTGATTGCCAGGAACACGGTCATACAATATAAACCTCGATTACCAGTATAGTGTCTGAACAGATCAATATCTTTGAACAGATCAGCACTATGCCAGCGTTCACATTAGTATAGTGTCCTCAAAGACACATCGTTAGCGGGATCAGCTAGGCACCTGCCAGCACCTGCGTTTAGCCCCTACACTTACCCCCCCCCTTCTCCCCCAGCAAGTGTAGTGTCAGTAGGTCACTGTCACTTGATACATTGCACACAAAACCAGTGTTTGCAGAATTAGGCCTGATCTCTGCTAGCACTTGCCAGTAAATTTTGATGACTCTCATATGCAGCAGAGTGCCAGTACTAGTGCCGCTTTACCTTTTGGTGAACTGGTGAGCACCAGCGGTCTAGTACATCCTAGTCTTTCACATACCAGCACTTGGTGACGTGGCGAGTCGCATAAGTGCAGTACAAGTATTGCCCAGCAACCACCATAAATTTGCACACAGATCTGTAGAGCCCCCCAGTATCCTTCCAGATGTGCTTGCAAATCCCGATGGCAGCCCACAAATTCTGCAACACCTGTACTTCCCCATTGCCCAACCCGGAATTCAGGTGGAGACAGCAAATTTAACTACTTCCATTGATTTTTTTGGAGTTGTTTTTCACGGAAGATCTGTATTGCATTGATTGCGGATCAAAGTAATTTATATGCACAACAATTTATCGCCGCCAACCCAAATTCAAACCTTGCCAGACCATTTGCGGTTTCCAAATTTAAATTTTTTGGGGGCCTAACCCTCAACATGGGCATTACTAAAAAAATAATTGTGGTTGTATTGGTCCACAGACCCGATTCATCATATGCCCGTGTTCATTGCTGCCATGGCCAGGCATATATATGAGAGTATAATGTGTTTTATGCATTTCAATGACAATACACTCTGTTGTCCTTGGGGGGACCCTGAATTTGACCAGCTCTACAAAATTCAGCTCCTCATAAATCACCTTAACCAAAAATTTGCAGATGTCTATACTCCCCAGCAAAAAATATGCGTTCATGAGTCCCTCATTAGTTTTTTTGGCCACCTTGCATTCAAACAATTTATGCCCAACAAGCATGCCAGATATGGGGTCAAGATGTATAAGACCTGTGAGAGGGCAACAGGCTATACATATAAGTTTTGGATTTACGAGGGAAAAGATAGTCACATGGAGCCCCCCAGATGCCCAGACTACATGGGGAGTAGTGGCAAGATAGTTTGGGACTTTGTGTCATCCTTTTTCCATATGGGGTGCCACGTATACGTGGACAATTTGTATTCAAGCATGGCACTATTTAGACATGTGTACAATCTTGGAATTGGTGCATGTGGCACCGTGCAACCTAATGTGTGCCCACCATTAGAAGTGGGTGGATGCAGGGCGGTATATTCTAATGGTGGGCAAAGCACACACTTTTTCTGGCAGAGATTTCTTCTCTTTTTTTCATTCAGCCCACAAGGCTGCATGCAAAAAAAAAAAAGAACATAGCATATATACCCAACAAGGACCAGTGATGTACTGGTACATCACTGGACTTTGAATGGTCATACCAGGATGATGCCTACAGCTGCAGGCATCATCCTGGTATCATTTTTTTCAGTTAGTAATCAGCTTTCATGTAAAATCAATCCTAGTGGCTAATTAGCTGCAGGATTGCTTTTACAAGCAGTGGTAGACAATGCCCCCCCCCCCCCCCCCCACTGCCTTCCACGGCTTTCTCAGGCAGTCCTGTGCCATTGGAGGAACCTGAGAATGCAGCTGATGTTTCTGCCAGCTGACCATAGAGCTGATTGGAGACAGGAATGGTGCCAATCATCTCTATAGGCTAAGAAATCGGAAGCTACAAGCATTTCATCACTTCAGTTTTGCAGGATATAAACAGAGCCATTTGTAAATTGGGAAAGCATCTGATCACACCGATTTTGGTGATTTTAGATAATGTAAAGGCAGAGGAGAGTCTGATAGACCCCAGATTTCTCAAAAAAGAATATACAGTCAGGTCCATAAATATTGGGACATCGACACAATTCTAACATTTTTAACTCTATACACCACCACAATGGATTTGAAATGAAACGAACAAGGTGTGCTTTAACTGCAGAATGTCAGCTTTAATTTGAGGGTATTTACATCCAAATCAGGTGAACAGTGTAGGAATTACAACAGTTTGCATATGTGCCTCCCATGGGTTTATGTAGAATTATTCCCCAAAATACATTCTGCTACTTCTCCCGAGTATGGGGGTACCACATGTGAGAGACTTTTTGGCAGTCTAGCCAAGTACAGGACCCCAAAATCCAATAAGCATCTTCAGGCTTTTAAAAGGGCTTTATTTCCTTATTACACTTCCTGACTACCTATCACAGTATCAGAGGCCCTGAAATATCGGCATAGTACCTAACCCCTCAAATGACCCCTTTTTGGAAAGTAGACACCCCACGGAATTTGATAAGAAGCATGGTGAGTATTTTGTAGATCTCGTTTGTTGCCACAAGTTTTTGTAAAATGAAGAAAGAAAACAAAAATATATTTTTTCTTTTTTTTTTATGTTTTCAAAACCTTGTGTGCCTCTTTTTAAATTCTGTGGGGTATCTACTTTCCAAAAAGGGGTCATTTGGGAGGGGGGGGGTGCTATCCTGGTATTTCAGGGTCTCCAAACCTGTGATAGGTAGTGAGGAAGTGAAATGAAGAAGTTACGCACCTTAAGGCTTTCAAAGTGCTCATTGGATTTCAGGCTCCTGTATATGGTATTCCCATACTCAGCAGAAGTAGCAGAATGTATTTTGGGGTGTAATTCCACATATACCCGTGTCTTGTGTGAGAAATATATAATTTAAATGACAACTTTGTGTAAAAAAAAAAATAATGTTTTTGTCATTTTCCAAAAACTTGTGGAAAAAAATAAATCTTCCATGGACTCAATATGAAGATATCTTCCGGTGTCTACTTTCTGGAAAGGGGTCATTTGGGGGTGTTTGTACTGTTCTGGTATTTTAGCACCTCAAGAAATGTGATAGGCAGTCAGAAAGTAAAAGCTGTGTAAAGTCCATTTGCTATACCATAGTTTGTAGAAGTTATAACTTTCACACAAAGCAATATATTATTGGGATTTTTTTAAACCAAAAACGTGTAGCAAAAACATTTTGGCTTACATTTATGCCAAAATTTTAGTTTTTTTGGATATTTTTTATGACGGAAATGAGGAAATATCGTTCTTTTCCAAAAGAAAAAGCTCTATTTGTGTGAAAAAAGGACACAAATTTAATTTATGTACCATATTGCATGACCGCGCAATTGTCAGTTAAACTAATGCAGCGCTATATAGCAAAAACATGGCGTAAATTGCAGTATGTATACCATAATTTGTAGACGCTATAACTTTCACACAAAGCAATCAATATACACTTATTGGGATTTTTTTTGCCAAAACATTGAGCAAAATACATTTTGACCTAAATTTATAATTAACTTTGAGTTTACTATATATTTTTTATAGCCGAAAGTAAAAAATATTGTTTTTCTTCAAAAAGTTTGGTCTTTTTTTGTTTATAGGGCGAAAAATAAAAAGTGCACAGGTAATCAAATACCACAAAAAGAAAGCTCTATTTGTGTTAAAAAAGGACATACATTTTGTTTGGGTACAGCATTGCATGACCGTGCAATTATCAGTTGAAATAGTGCAGCGCCGAATAGCAAAAAGAGGCCTGGTCATTACAGGGGGCAAATCCTCAGGAGGGAAAGTGGTTAATGACACATACATTAAAAAATGATGGTTTGGAAACGTTTGTTGGAAAATAAACAATGTTATTTTTCATTTGCAGTCCTCATGCTGGCAATGTGCTGTAAGATTTTGACTGTCAGAAACTGTTGAAATTGTTTGATCTTTTTGGAAAAACCATTCTGACTCTTCCATTCTAATACTGATCTCTGTGAAAATAGAAATAGCTGTTTGTTTTTAAGCCACATCTCTCAAGAATGGTTGAAAATCAGTGTGACTGTACCAAAAAGGTTTAATGTGTAAGGCAGCCTTTGATATAAGTCAGCTAATGATGGCCTGCTCTCTGCAATGAACAAAGTAAAACTTGGTGGGAAACTAGTGGTTCCCAGATCTCATAGCCTCAAATAGCAGCAACATCAACTGACATAAAAAATACAAAAAATTATAAAGGAATGATAAAAAGAATGTAAAATACCATTTTAAAGTGTATTTCCACATTTGCAGCCAATTGAAATAAAACCAGCTCTTTATATATTTGTTACATCTTTTCATTCACATAGCATAACTTACAAAAATATTTAAAATTGCCCCTTACCATTTTAGATGCTCTTTTAGATTAACTCCAGCATTGAAATATCTGATTTAAGCTGGCCATAGATTAATCATTTTTTATTGCTCAGCCAGTGTGCCACACAAAAAAGAAAACAAATGGATTCCTCAATCTACACAAAACAAGATGGATGGAGGAATCCTCCCCTCTGAGACATTGGGGTTGATTTACTAAAACTGGAGCACTCAGAATCTGGTGCAGCTGTGTATGTTAGCCAACAGGGGCGGACTGACCATTTGGAAACTCGGGCACTGCCCGAGGGCCCGGGGTCAGTAGGGGCCCCATGAGATGCCCCTGGTACCTTTTTCATAGGCTTTTTTGAGTTTGGGCAAGGACACAGGGGCCCCATGAGCCCCTATTGCCCGGGGGCCCCATGAGTTGACAGTCTGCCCCTGGTAGCCAATCAGCTTCTAACTTAAGCTTTTTTAAATTAAGCTTTGACAATGAAACCTGGAAGCTGATTGGTCTCTATGTACAGCTGCACCATATTTTGCACTCTCCAGTTATAGTAAATCTCCCCCATTGTGTTCTGACAGCAGGGGCTCTCAGCTGTCAGAATACACTGATCAATGGCTGCAGCTGCTGATCGAGAAAAAATTTCCAACAAGCCTGTTGATCAGAAGTTCATTTTTAAATCAACTTCTGTTGAGTGGTAGCAGCCACACACAGATCGAAATTTGACCAGTCTTTGATGAACCAGTTAATTATTGATCCACCTTTGGCCAGCTTTAGTTCTCTTTTTGTATAAGGGAGCTGGTTTGCTGTGTTTGCCTTGATTAACTTTGTCTGTACTGTGCTGGCATATCTCATTATCAGTTGCAAACTAGATTTTGACCTAACAAAAGGTTAAAGATTTAGAAACTGGGTTTCCTGCATTGTATGTTGATGAGAGGAGACTAAACTAGTCCTTAGCCTTTCGGTTATGAAAAAACTCACACTGAACTGCATTGCAGTAAGCCAAAAAATATTTTTAGCTATGCTATGTTAATGGGAACACATAACAAACACAAAGTGGGGCTTTCTTAAACATGATGGCAAATGTGGAAATACCCCTAAAGATGAATTCAAGGTATGCACATTTTATACATAGTTACATTGGTTCAGTTTGGACCTATGTAACCATGTACATAGCAAGCAATGCCCCTGGAAGCTGGAGATCACAGTAGTAGACACCTCTACTACAGTGATCTCCACTTGCTTCCGGGTCCTGTACCAAGCTGCTGCCCTGCTACATTCTGCAAACCTGAGGTTGGTTGCTTGGCACAGACACCATTCAGAGAATGCTTTGAATTTTCTGAATGAATGCAAAATGTTCTCTGGCTGGACAAGGCAGAGGCTGTGATGTCACTGCCCCAGTTCACCACCTCATCTAATCAGAGAATGCTTTACATTCATTCTCTGAACAGTGCAGCTGATCTCCTGTGTTCAGTAAAAAGAAGGGCAGAGACCCGGCGTGGGACTCGGAAGCAAGCAGAGATCACTAGAGTAGCAGTGATTTTCAACTTCTGGGGACAATCGTCAGATATGGTACATCCATAGTTATTTTGGTCCAAGCTGAACTAATGTAAGTATGTATAAAATATCGATACTTGTAATCTTTCTTTAAAAGTTAGTTTTTTTTCTTGTTTGCCATTGTGACTATGACAGGTATGGATGAAAAAATGAATTTATATTAAAGTAGAATTCCAGGATATGAATTATTAATAATTAATACTTCTTCCCCCACCCCCTAACACCTATGCTTACTAACCTGTGTAAGAAATGCATATACTTACTTATTTTTATGCTGCTCTGGTCAGGTCATGTGATCCGGCTCCCCTCTGTCAGCCAGTGGCAGCTGCAGGGGAGAGGAGGGAGTGCTGACAACGGACGGGCCATAGGGTTACGTCACCACTCAGTCATTACCAAGCATTGTTGAGCGCTCTCTCCTCAGTAGCCGGCTGCTGGCTGACACAGTAGAAATCATGAAAACAGGAAAGTATATTAATATTTCTTACACAGGTTAGCAAGCATAGGTGTTAGGAAAGGGGAGAAAGTATTTTTAAGATTAATTAAGGTTACCTTGAATTCAACTTTAATGCTTCCTTCACACCTGTCCAATGTGCTGCAATGTGGTTTTTAGCATGCATGTTAAAGTGTTACTAAACCCAGGACCCTGCATTCACTATATATGGTCTCCCACAGTACGTACTACATGGAAATACAATTATTTTAGTAAATATAAACTGCTAAATACCTTTTCTCATCAGCAGTTAGAGCAGTCTTGTGACTTCAACAGAGCACTGGTTAAAGCTTGTAGGAGGAGTTTTCTTTCTGCTCTAGGAGGATGTGAAACTCCTGACCCTCTGTCTGGACAGTACTGATTAGCCATGTGCTGATCACATGCTCTCTCCCAAGAAAAAAAAAAAAAAAACTCTCTAGCATACACTTCAAATTGAGCATTTGCATGTGACCACAGGTTCAGTCTGTTTTATCAGCGTGGTCATTTCAACAAGAGGAGGGGCAGAGAAAACAGGATCAAACAGCCTTTTTACACAATGCAGAAGATTAACCCCTTAGGTCAGGGTTTGAAATTTCCACTTGCCTGCTCGCCAATGGCGAGTGGAAATTATGGTGGGGGCGAGTGTGTCCCCCAGGGCCGTCTTGCTGAGCAGGCTCAGAGCTCAGGCTGGATCTGTCATTGGCACTGGGAGCCGTTAGACTGCTCAATAGCTGAGTGCAGTGAAAGCAAAGCAAGGAGTGTGTGTTGTGCTCTCTGCCTCCCCCTAGAGTGCAGTACCCGGATCTGGGAGTGAACAACGAAGTACTGCAACTTTTTATGGGGGGGGGTAGAGTGTGTGTGTACGTGTACATGTGTGTGTCTGTGTATGCATGTACAATTGTACATGTGTCTGTGTGTATGTACATGTGTGTATCTGTACATGTGTCTGGGTGTATGTACATGTATGTGTGTGTGTACATGTGACCATGTGTGTGTGCATGTACATGTGTGTGTACATGTGACCATGTGTGTGTGCATGTACATGTGTGTGTTTGTGTGTATGTACGTACATGTGTCTGTGTGTGCATGTACATGTGTGTGTGTGTTTGTATGTACATACATGTGTCTGTGTGTACATGTGTCTGTGTATGTATGCACATGTGTCTGTGTGTTTGTACATGTGTCTGTGTGTGTGTATTTCTGTGTATGTACATGTATCTGTGTGTATGCGTGTCTGTACGTGCGTGTGTGTGTGTATACATGTGTCTGTATGTGTGTGTGTGTACATGTGTCTCTGTGCGTGTGTGTACATGTTTCTGTGTGTGTGTGTATGTACATGTCTGTGTGTACAGGTGTCTCTGTTTGTGTGTGTGTTTGTTGGTGGCGAGTAACTCTAAGGCCTGGCTAGTAGCTCAGGACTTGAAATTTTAAGCCCTGGTTCCACAGTGAGTATAACAAGCATGCTTTACTGAATACACAGACTGATTTTACTGTTGTGGGGTTAGTAACACTTTAAGATGCATTGTGTTAAGACAGCTCAATTATTTCAACCGGACAGCCATGACACCAGGGGCGGACTGACCATTTGGAAACTCGGGCACTGCCCGAGGGCCCAGGGTCAGTAGGGGGCCCCATGAGATGCCCCTGGTACCTTTTTCATAGGCATTTTTGAGTTTAGGCAAGGACACAGGGGCCCCATGATCCCCTATTGCCCAGGGGCCCCATGAGTTGTCAGCCCGCCCCTGCATGACACACATAAAACTAGACATCCCCTATCTTTTCAATGCACCTCATCTGTACATTGTGGTGCTCTGAAACAGGTGTATTGGGAGCCATTCACAATTATTGGTACTGGAACACAGATGGTGTGTTACCATACATTTCGGTACAAGCTGCAAAGCCTGTCCAGCACAAATGTACGCAACATTTTTTGATGTCATATTGTATATTTCCATTAAGTCTGATTTATCACATCTGTAGAAATGCGTGCGTGCATGAATCGTTATCTACCTGCTTTATCAAAAGCTTAAATGTATCGCTGTGAGCATCAGATGTTTTTTAATAATGTTTTCCACGGTGAACTGTCATTTACCATATTCATCAGCAACCTGTGCTTTGCACTTAACAAGCTTACCTCGCCACACTGCAGTCATATATATCTAACGAGTGAAGGCCAGAGATACATAAAAGAAAAGAAAAAAAGAACGCGGTACATCCCAGTTGTCTTTGGAGATAGGAGCTGGGCTCATTCTTTCTCACCCCATGACAGTTTCACCTTCACAGAAGGATAAGAGAACGCTGCAGTGCTAAATTGATCTAAGAACAAGAAGCGTCCTGAGAACAAGTAAGCACGCTGACCACATGATGACACTCCCTTAGCACTCTGGGAAGTCACATGTACACATCCGCAGCCAAAACATCCCCATTATCTATGGAGCTCTATTATTCTGTGATACAGAACTCCAATAAATCTAAGAAAGGTCACTGAAAGGTTTGTCAAGTGTGTTTATTGCGCTATTTCCATTCCAACTGCAGTTTCACTGCTCCCACATTATGCAGATTTCTGGCTTCTCTTTTTTTTAATTCTCCCCCTTAACAAGAGATGATTTACTTCTGGGATGTGTTCAACTGGGACATGCCGGCGACATTGACCTTTCCCGCACTCGGAGGCGGCCAGCGATGCATGGAGAGGGGCGAGATACAAACGCCTGCGGCTGTTCCCACTAATGAGAAGCTAATTGGTGGTGTGCGCAGGAATGAAAAGCCATGTCGCTTAATCCTGACTATGCTTCTCCCACGCCTGGCATGCATGCCAAGTCTGTCACCGGAACTAATGGGTATTTAACGATAATAGGGGTCCCCGTGCTCAGAACCCCATCCTGGCGGGGGGGAGGGGGGGTGGTACTCAAGATGTGAAAGTGGCATATTGTTCAGAGCAGTCATTAGGAAGGAGCACAGTTTAGCTGCTATGCTGGCAATGTGTGAGAGATCTGATCTTATTTCATCTGCTGATCTGTAATGAATTGAAAAAATGATACCAAACCACAACCCCTCCTTCCCTCTGGTCATTACAACAAAAAACATACACAACTACAATACAATACACACACACCACATACATACACATATGAAAACACTCACACATACACAAGCACACACAATACACACACAACACACCACACAAACACCACACACATGCGCATACACATATACAAGCAAGCACTAACAACACACGCACCACGCACAGTGTGCACACAACACACTCACACAACACATGTACACAACTAATACATACACAACACACACATACAAACAACACATGCACACACATACACCCATGAATGCTAACACACACACACACTTACAAAAACACACGCAAGCACACAACACACATATGCAAGCTTACACACAATACACACGTGTGAGCACACACACCAGACACACATATGTGAGCACACACACAACACACCCAAAACACAACACACACATATGTATGCAAGCACACAGAAAACACACATATACAAGTACACACACACAACAAATGCACACACACGTGCAATGATAAACACACATGCAACACTCATACAACACACACACAAACAGCACACGAATGTAAAAAATATACTGATGTTTATACTCAGGGTCTTGTTGACAAAAAGATCCCAAGTAAAATGTTCTGTAAAAACATCACATAAAGCCGCCCGTAAGTGTATATAAGTGTAAAATACTTCATTGTCTGTATTGCAATATATACATGCGTAAAAGTGCGTAAACATTGCAGCACTCAGGCGTAAGATGTTCTATTTTGTTTTACGGCTCTATATTTGCTCTTTTACTGATCTTTACGCATTTGTGTGTATGGTTCCATAGACAACAACAATGTGTATCCAGATCAGTAAAAGCATGGTGTTTTTTACTCCTGTGTGCAAAAGGCCTAAAAAAAAAGCTGCTGCTTCATGCATAAAGCCAAACTCTGGGCTTTTTTTTTTTTTAGTCCCCCAGCATTGCAGCATTGGTGCAATACACATCTCCTCTCTGACACTGATCCTTGCAGTAATCCAATTATTGATATAACCAGTTTCATTTAACTGAAAGAAAAGAAAAACAAACCACCAATCACACACACAACAACACATGTGCCAACACACACAAAAAACATACACAACACATGCACACACACAAACACTACACATGTGCATACACACACAAGCAAGCACAAACAACGCACACATGAGCATGCGCACAGTGTGCACACAACACGTGTATACAAATAATACATACACAACACACACATACAAACACCACACACACAACACGTGCACACACATACATGAGCTAACACACACAACACTTACACAACACACGCAAGCACACAACACACATATGCAAGCTCGCACACAATACACACATGTGCGAGCACACACACCAGACACACATATGTGAGCACACATACAACACTCACACAACACACACATATGTATGCAAGCACACACAAAACATACATATAACACATATGCAAGCACACACACAACACACAACAAATGCACACACATGCAAGCATAAACACACATGCAACACTTATACAACACACACACAAATAGCACACAAGACTTGAGAATTATGGCCAGTTGCATCCATAGACAACAATGCATGTGTATCCAGATCAGTAAAAGCATGGTGTTTTTACTCCTGTGTGCAAAAGGCCTAAAAACAGCTGCTTCATGCATAAAGCCAAACTCTGGGCTTTTTTTTTTCATAGTCCGCCAGCATTGCAGCATTGGTGCAATACACATCTCCTCTCTGACACTGATCCTTGCAGTAATCCAATTATTGATAGCCAGTTTCATTTAAGATGGAAAACTGAGGATATACTGTAAGTGTGGGGTGCTATGGACCCAACCCATAAGAGGACATCACCACAGTGCTCCATACTCACAGTGTAATGGTGCAGAGTGGTGCTGACATCATCAAGTCACACTGCTCTCTACATCACTGAGGACCATCCACTGTCAATAGTAGAGAATGAGGACCACGTGTGTCACATAACTGGTCCAAAGACTTTTAGCAAAAGGTAAGTTAACAAAATTACAGTGGAGTAGGAGGGTCAAGGGGGTGGAAAATATAACCCGAAAGTTTGGACTTAAAAAAAATAATAATAATAAAAAAAAAGAAGCACAGAGGTTTTCATTGCTAAGCTTCTTCTGAAGATACTAGCTGCCTGGCTGTAATGCTAATCCTCTGGCTTCAGCGCTTGTTGTGTCACTGACCTAGAATAAGTTTACAGATCAGACTTATTCCAGGTCAGAGACTCAAACTATTGAGGCCAGAGAGAGCCAGGCAATCTGCTTTATTTTCAGAAGGAAATGAACAATAGCAGGTTCCTTATTTCCCTTGTGACAGGTATCTTTTAACAGCAGGACTGTTTTAATAAAGAATTTAACAAAAGGCATTTCTCTCAGTTTCATGAATGTACAAGCCTACCAAGAGACTTGCAGTAGTACAAACTGAATATTGAAGGAATAAATTATGCGATATTTTATATTTGGTATCTTGCTCATCTTAAAGAGGAGAGTGACCTTGAGATAGTTGTGGTTCTAAGATATTTTCTTGAGTAAGGTTTGTTTTACCTGTGTGGCATTTGTCCATTGATTTCAATAGATTGCCCTACCAGCAGAAACACAAGGAAAGTCCCCGACCCTTTTTAAATAATTGTGTTGCATCAAACCAAATGGTACTTCGGCACCATGCAGTTTGGCATGTGCGAAAACATAGAAGTTTGCCGATGCACAAGGGTGCCATTAAGAATTAATGGCGGCCCCACATCTGCTACAGAGCAGCGTGTTTTCTTTTGTGTGTCTGGAAAGCTCATGATTGTGCGTGCATTCCAAACACGCAATAATGTGAACCTAGCCTTACATATTTAAACAATAGCACTCATAAAATTACACCAAGGGCTAGCCTTTTATGAGCCTTTATATTTCATTACAAAATGTAAATTTTGGAATGATCAATTTGCAGTTTGTTTCTATTGCTACAAAGTTTTTAGCATAGGGGTAGAAGGGGCATGAAAGTAATCTTCCTCCGAATCAACAGGCTTGTTCCATGTCAAAAGCTCTGGAAGACCTGGAGCTGGAAAGTCAGAATGTAGGCAGGTAGAAGCACAATTTACTGTATGGCCCATTTAAAAGTGTTTCTGTACTTTGAATCCTTCCAG